AGCCTCGCCCCATCTCCCACGAGGGGCTGTTTACAGCGGAGTCAGGTTGGTTGGGTTTACACTGCGCACGGCAAGGAATTTCCCCAGAGCCCAGCTGGTTTGCACCGCGGCCAGTTCGGTTTCAAAACGCTTCGCTTGCCATCTAGTGGAGAGACCCGGCCAGTGCACCCGCCAAGCCCGACTCCAGCCCAGCAGCAGGCTGGATCGTCCGAGAGCTGGACGATGGAGCCAGCTGAAAAGTTACACTCCTACTGCCTGTGTCCTTTGCTGGCTTCGAGAGCTCTCAGCCACTACAGCCCAGGGCATTAAGGGCCTAGGGAGGACAATTCAAAGGACTACTCATGCCAGCAACAGGCTGGATAGATACTTTCCAGCCATCTCATCTACATAGCCAGGCTGCTCAGAGGGGACCCAAGACTCTGCTTCCCCTCACATCAAAATGGTTTTTTTCAACAAAATGCACATAAATAGGATGAGAGAGCAGAATTGGTATTTTCCCTCTGAAAACTCATTTCTAGTAGGCAAAAGGCCTAGAACTATCAAGGACAGGCATATTCTACTTCTCAAAAGAGCAGGTCATATCAGTTCACATTGTCATCTGAGAACATAACCCTAACTCAGACCGGTCAGGTTTTTAAATTCCCTGCTCAAATACCAACGTATTTCAGGCCTTCTCATGCTCACATTGAAATGAAACTGTGCTCTCGCTGGCTCCACATTTTTAGCAAATCCTCCTTTTTCCAGACATCCTAATTCTTTGCATTCATCACTCCATAAACCCAAGTCCTGCAGACACGGGTGTGCATAACATGATTTTAATGGGTCTACTGTGAATAATGGTATGCACGTGGTTACATGTTTTCAGGATCAGGGCCATAACGGTCACGATGGGCTGCTGTGAAATTCACAAAGCATCCCTACAGCTGTTCCTTGTGTAATAGTGAAAGACCATCTAAGGCTTGAAAGTCCTCAAATTGTCCAATAGGAGAGACTGCATAAAATTCCTGTATTAATTAGTGTGATGAGAGACTTGCTTTTAAATCTCTGTTTAGAGATAATATTAAACTTCCTGTTCTTTCACGCCTACTTTGTTTAGGACAGGACACAGTGTTTGGAAGGGTGACACTGGGAAGAGAAAATTCCCTTTTCCTTCCAGCTGCAGTTAGACATGGATTAGTCGCATACCTGGAAAATCAGCCACTCCAAGTGGGAAAACATAGGATTTTCCAGGCACATGAGCTCAGTAGCCCAGTAAGTCTGGGATCTTGCTCCTGGTAGTGGTCGGTGTCTGATGCTTAAGAAGAACATCCTGCATAATGAATGCAACCCATTACACAAAGCCATCTGGAGGTTGGGGTTGGGCAGGGAAAAGCAGTTCTTGTTTAACACCTGCAGTCACTCACTACAGCCCCACCTCAAATTTCTTGATCAGCAGCGGTCAAAAAAATTACCCTAAATCCAGCCACAATATTTGACTTGGGGCCTGATTCGGCTCCCATTGGCATCTACGGTAACGCTCCGCTCAACGTCAGCTGGCCCTCCATGACCTCTAGCAGCAGAGAATTCCACAGAATGTCTGCAAACGACATGAAAAATAATCACATCCATGGATCTGTGGTTACCCTCTTTGTTCTCACGTTTTGGGAGAAGGTGAAAAAGGATCTGTGCATTGTCGTCATGCCTTTCAGACGCTGAAACATTCCCTCTAACTCTTCTCAAGCCACCGCTAAATCATTCTAGTTCTCCCCACTGCTGTGGCATTGTCAAACTACCTAAAAATAAACCCCGCAAAGGCTATTTCCTCAGGTCCAGTCAATATACAGTTTTAAAACACCAACTTGGATGTCCAATATGGAAATGGTCCACAGAATCGATCAGATCCCAGGAAAGAAAAATCCTGAACCCTTTGGCAAGCTGCTGGAAGTAGATTGTGACACAACCAGCTCCCCACAAGCCATTAACACATGCTCCGTCAGCCAGCATTGGTTCTACACACCAATTTGGGAAGCACTGGTCTGCCTGGCACTTCCTCAGCTAATGCAGGATCATTCTGTACCTTATGGCTATTGTTATCATGCTCTTTTGTTCCTTGTATTATGGTAGCTCCTGAAGACCACAGCTCAGAACTCCATTATACCAAGTATAATATCTGCCCCAAAGAGCCTCCAATCCACCCATGCACGACAGAGAAAGGATGGAGGGTGAGCCGGGGACTCGGTGTGGTGGAGAGATTTGCCCAGGCTCACACAGCAGGTCAGTGGCTCAGCCAGGGTTGAAGTTGTTTGGCTATTCCAGTTTTAAAATGACACTTGATGTTATGAGATTTGGCTTTGCATTTTGCAGGGGGGAACCAAAAAAATCTCCCCATAATTGTTTTCATTTTCTTGTTTTGAAGTAATATGGTAACAATAAAAATATATGGCCCAATCTACCGCACGCTTCACCCGTCCCTCCATTCATACTGCCCATCTACAGCTCTCTACTACCTCTTACAATCTTAAGCTTTGTTCTGGCAACCCGTGAAATCTTGCACTAATTGAAGGGGGCCAATTTCCCCTCTTCAAACATGCTGGGCATTGCTGCCTAGTGAATATAGCAGGGAATTCAAAACTCCTAGGATCAGTTTTTGGCTCTGCCACTTAACGTGGCACCTCAGTGAAGCCTGTTTACTTATCTGTGAAATGAGGATAAAGCTTCCCTCTGGGATGTTGTGTCCTCAGAAGGAAGGTGTTCGAGCGGTACAGTCCTCACTTAGACATGAGCGTTGATACGCATGCACCCTAGTGGTAGAGGAGGCCAAGCTAACGTCCCCCAGACTTCAACAGAGAGAGAAGTGAAAGATCCTGCGCTTTGGAACACCCTGCTTCTACTGGTTCAAAAGAGTCAGAAACTGTTGACTTTCCACAGATGGAGCCAGACTCCCCCCCTCTTTTCCCCAAGCTCTTTCTGAGGGGGTGGGTTGAATTGGTGGTGAATGAATTGAGAGGGACTGTTGAGTTGGTGGGACGGATTCTTTATGTGACTGTTGGGTCCACAGGATGTGTATTTTAACAGCTTTGTGCATGGACTTCAAGCTCTGACGAAGCCACGTTTTAAAAATCTAAACCAACACATAAAAGAAATTGACCCCAGGCTAAGGTCCAAGCCCCTATTGAAGAATGGAAAATGCCAGCTAATTTTCCTTCAGTCACTTTTCATTTCCACTTGTGGCCTTGCCCTTTTGGGATCCGGATTAGAAATATCAGAATGAGATTGAGAGAGAGAGATTCTGCATGAAGTAGAAACCTCAATATTTTAAGACATGTGAAAAGAGACCCAACCAAGCATCACTAAAAGTACAATAGGGAATGTTCAGGCAGTAACACTAAACAGCCAATGGTGTTTTTCCCCCCCTTCTAAATGACATAGATCAGAGTCATCCTTGTGGTAACACCACTGAAGTCGCCAAAATGAATTTATCCCTGTGATCCTTTTACTGCCTGGTTCAGATTTCAGCAGCAGTGTGTTTGTCAGATTTATTATATATCGAACTAAGTATTGCCCAAAACAATCTTAAAGCATCGATCCTACAACAGGATGTGTATGGAAAAGGGCAACAAAAATGATGAGGGGTATGAAACAGCTGCAATATGAGGAGAGATTAATTAGACTGGAACACGTCAGCTTGGAAAAGAGAAGACTAAGGGGAGACATAATAAAGGTCTATCAAATAATGACCGGTGTGGAGAAAGTGAATAAGGAAAAGTTCTTTACTCCTTCCCATAACAGGAGAACTAAAGGTCACCAAATAGGTGGCAAATTTAAAACAAACAAAAAGAAATACTTCTCCACACCACACGCAGTCAACCTGTGGAACTCCTTGCCAGAGGATGTTGTGAAGACCAGGGCTTTAACAGGGTTCAAAAAAGAACTAGATGTCTTCATGAATGATAGGTCCATCAATGGCTATTAGCCAGGATGGGCAGGAATGGTGTCCCGAACTTCTGTGTGTCAGAAGCTGGGAATGGGTGACAGGGGAGGGATTGCTCGATGATTCCCTGTTCTGTTCACGTCCTCTGGGGCACCTGGCATTGGCCAGTGTCAGAAGACAGGACACTGGGCTAGATGGACTTTTGGTCTGACACAGTATGGCCGTTCTTACGACAGACTAACGCTTGCTTTTGGCTTCCTGGGTTACCACACAGGCACCAAGTTGGAGTAGAGCCCCTGGATGGCATTTAGTTACCGTTTGATCACATGTGACTGACAATATTCTTGATACAACGGAGTCTTCAGGATGGTGCTGGATCCTAGCAGAGAGTGAGACGCCTTA